TTATCTCTGAAGCAGACGACTTCTCAAAAATTGTAGACCAGTGTAATTAGGTACTGTATATATGTTTGAATGTACACACTTGTATAGATATCACAGCATCCAGTTAAATGTGTTCATTTCAGTTGTGCATTCAAGCAAACCTAGGTTTTCCTTCCATTTATTTTTGTTTATGAAACAAGGAAATTAACCTTAGTTTTTTTACATGTAATTCAACATTATGGTTGAGATTTTAAATAAGAGTCAAGAAATTCAGTACGATTCCCACAGTGATACAGAAAATACTACATGAGTGAAAGGTGGTCAAATTAAAGTTGGATTTCCTAAGGTCTGTACACTTAAAAATCTCAGCTATAATGTTGCTTTTACGTAAAGTCAGATTGTGATATACTCACACATGATAAAGAGCACTGTCCTGCACTAGTAGTCATTGAAATCAGTGGTACTACTAAATTGCTATGCAGTGTGAACAAGGAGATCAAATTCTGGCCCTTAATTCTCCACACAATAGTTTTATTGTTCCCTCTGCGTGGGGTCAGTAGCAACCTGCTTAGACACATGCTATTGTACTCTTATTTAGGACATTGTTGTATTTTGTAGACTGTAAGTGTTCATTCCACCCGAAGTTTCCCTTTTGAAGAGAAAATAACTTCTCTGGCATTTAGTCATATAGTGCTTACTGAAAATGGAGGAGGAAAGTCTTTTATTGCAGAAAAGTGGAGTCAGACAGACTTACTATTATGATCTTCTCCAGCCAGTCTGAATTATGAAATAATTTACAGCTGCATATATAATCATTGTATTACCTGTGGGGAACATTAGTATTGCAGCCAACAGGCAAGTGCAGACTAACTTGCAGTGGTACTAGAGATGAGTAGTATTGTGGTAACTGGGGTGTAAAAACTGGCATTACCCTCATATTGCTACTCTGTCCCCTTCTTGTTAGGTTTACTGAGGGGATTGGGTTACTACCACCTCCAGTGGTGCTTGGTATTCATGCTGATGTGGTTTTATGTAGAGATACAATGGGATTGATTCACAAAGTAGGATTTTATTTTACTTATTAAATTTTAGTACTTGTTTATTTTGTTTACATTTAAAAATAAAAACAAAAATAAGTGAGAGAACTCAGCAGGTGTTGCACAGAGGAAATAAAATAAATGAAAAAGTGCTTAGGTGGAATGACAAACAAAAAGAACCAGGGTGTAATATGAGAGAGAAAACCAGTTGTTGTGTTTTCTAAATTAGCAGTTTCTTGAAAAACACTGTATGCAGATTGAAAACCTGGCAGTACTTAACTGGAATCTGTCTATGTGCTCTCTAATCAAATGAAATCAGATGTATAGTGTAATAAGCTATCGTCAGCACTCTAGTTGATCAGTTAATTTAGTTAATGCTTCCTTGGGGGACATATCTTCAATTGGTATGACCTGTGTGTTTCAGAGAAGAGCATGATATAAAAGTGACCTCTAGACCTTAAACAAAAACAATCGGCTTGCCATATATAAAGGCACTATTCAGTGTGCAGTTTAGCAGATTATTTAGTGTCTCACATTTCAGGAGTAGTGACATAAAATTATTTTCTCTCTATTCTTAAAAGTAACAAACAGACTTTTGTAGCTAAATGGGCATGTAACAAACAGACTTTTGTAGCTAAATGGGCATGTTAAAGCTTAGATGGGATACTTTCTATTTAACATAAATTCCACTGGATATTGCCAAAGTGAGGATAAAATCCTCAGACTTACTGTTTAAAAAGAATGAGGTTTTTTTATGTATTAAACACCTGCTTAATGTAGGATCCTATGTTTACTGTAAAAGCTGAGTTATGTTTTTATTTTTCAAATGTAGAACTGAAAGCAGAAATTGAGAAACTGAAAGCAGCTCGCAAAAATACTCTAAATAGAGATCCTGAGAAATTTAGACCGTATCTGCAAGAAATAACATCCCTAAGGGTAAAACTACACCAACAGGAGAGGGATATGGCAGAGATGCAAAGGTGGGGTAGTCATTAATGTCTTCTGAATAGTAAGTAGTAGTCTCATAAATATTGGAATAAAATATCCCTAAAGTAATTATTTTGATTTATTTTTCCTTATATGCTAAGGGCCTGGAAAGAAAAATTTGAACAAGCAGAACAGAGGAAATTTGAAGAAACAAAGGAGTTACAGGTACCCTTTATTCACAAGAATTAAAGAAGTATAGAAAATGCTTAATACCAATAAATCCATTAATGCACAGAATTGAGGTTGTCCTAAGAATCCTCTTTCCTAGTCTACATTCCTCTTTTGCAAGAAGCAGTTAATATTGTTCATTCTCTTCAGGTCAGTGCTTTCAAATAAATTATATATGGCAGTGGTTCTCAAACTTTTTAGCAACCCATGGACTCCCATTTTTATTTTAAATTTTTCGTGGACCCTCAAATTCCCCACCCCGCCCCTCCTCTTCCCCACCTCTTTCTGCCCCCTCCCCTAAGTGTGCCCCATCCCCGCTCCTCTCCCAGCGGCTCATGCACGCCGGAGAACAGCTGTTCCGCAGCAACTGCAGGGCTGGCCTTAGGGAAAATGGCACCCTGGGCACACTTTCATTTTGGTGCTCCTGGCCCCGTGAGTGTGGTGCACCCCCCGCCCCATTAACCCTGTCCACCATAGGCTTCCCACCCTCACTTCAGCCTTAACCCCTATACTGTGCCCCCTTCACACCAATCCCTGCACCCCTTTCACGCCTACCCCTGCACTGTGCCCCCTTCACCCCAAACCCTGCCCCACTTCTGTGCCCCTAACCTCTGCATTCCCCTCCTGCACCCACATGGGAAAACTGACCTGGATGCAGTGACAGAGCAGCTGGCATTGCTGCTTGCTCCCCCACTGGACTGATGCTCCTCTGACCCACGCTCCCGCTAGGAGGCTGTGAGGGGCGAGCAAGGAGCAGCGTCAGGGCTCCCTACATCCAGGTCACCTTCCCCACCTGGGCTGCGTAAGGAGAGGGCAGGAGAGCAGAAGCTCCTGGTGCTCACCTCACAGCACAGCTCAGGTGTGTGTTGGGGGGACTGTGTGAGGGAGACGTGTGTGTGTGTGTGTGCGTGCACGCCTGAGAGAGTGTTGAGCGCACTCTCTTTAGTAAAGCATTCAGGGTAAGGGGCCTGAAGGCTTGTTCAGACACAAGTAGCTGCCAGCAGCTTCTGACCCAGAGAGGCAGATTTCGCCCTGTCCTGTCACCCCAGCTCAGTGGAGACCGGGTACATGGGTGGGGGACACCCGACATCAGCCGTGCCGCCCCCCCCTCCCCCGAAGCCACCCCCCGCACAGCAGACAGGAGGGCACTCCCAGTCCAGAGTGGGCGGGGGGCTAGAAACAGAGGTGGCTGAACACGGCAATGGAGCAGGGGGCAGGATGGGCACCCCTGCTACAGAGAAGAGACCTGGCTCAGCTTTTTGTTCAACTGCCCCCCTGCAGCTCGGGTCCCTCTACCCTCCCCTCCAAATGCTGCTGCTCCGCTTGCCTGCCGCCTCCGCCAGTCCAGCTGGCTCTTGTCAGGTCAGGTGGGAATCAGGCAAACCTTATGCACGGTGCTCCCTTTGGCGAGCCACCCTGGGCCGCCGCCCGTACCACCCACCCGGTGGCATGGGGGAGGAATTGTAGGAGGGAGGGAGAGGAATTGATAAGTGGGGCCCGCGGACCTCCTGAAGTACACTTGTGGAACCCCAGTGGTCCACGGACCCCAATTTGAGAAACGCTGACTTATGGTACAGTCGGCAGACTTTGATGTATTTTTGATATATACATACAAATAAATCACTAATGTTTTCTTTCTGAATCAATCACCTAGAAAGCAGGAATTACATTCAAGATGGACAATCGTTTGCCAAACCTTGTCAATCTCAATGAAGATCCCCAGCTCTCTGAGATGCTTCTGTATATGATAAAAGAAGGACAAACTACAGTTGGAAAGTACAAACCAAATTCTCCTCATGATATCCAGCTCTCTGGAGTGCTAATTGCTGATGATCACTGGTATGTGATACCCTAAAATGAAAGATCCTTCATGTGGCTATGTGAGAATGAGCTACCACCCCTCTCTCTCTCTCTCTCCCTCCCCCCCCCCCCACTCCCCCCGGAGCAAGTGTCTCTTCTAGGTATGTCTTCACTGTAGAGTTAACCTGGGTTAGCTTAGCAGAGCTGGAGTGTCTTAGCTCTTTGCAGTGGGGACACTCCAGATATGCTATCTGTGCCAGACCCATGTAACAAACAGAAATTTCCTGTTAGGAAATAGGAAGTTCAAAATTAAAATACAGTAATAACTCAAATGAAAGATACTAAATTAGTTTTACACAGAAAAAAATCTGCTAAATTCTTAAAAGCAGAATGAAATATACGCTGTCATGTCAGTTTCAGAATTCCATTCACTGGTGTGCTGTTTGCATGTAATATCAATCTAATTTCTGTTTCAAAACATTTGTTTTTTTTGTCTGTGTACATCAGATAAGCAGTACTTCAGAGAATCTGAACAATGAAAGATTGTAGATGAGTGGCTGCCTCATGATGCGTGCTGGTGGCCTTGGGCAGACCTGCATGTAGCCCCTCACCTCAGTTTCCCTTTTTGGATCCCCAAATAAACTCCACACATGGTTTTTCCAGTCATAAGATCATAGAATCATAAGGTTAGAAGCGACTGCAAGGGTCAGCTAGTTTAATCCCCTGCCAAGATGCAGGATTTTTTGCATCTAAACTATCCAAGACTAATGGCTATCCAGCCTCCTTTTGAAAGCCTCCAGTGAAGGACCTTCCATAACCTCCCTAGGCAGTCTGTTCCATTGTCCTACTGTTCTTGCAGTTAAGACGTTTTTCCTGAGATTTCATCTAAATCTGCTCTGCTGTATCTTGAACCCATTGTCTCTTGTCCTGCCCTCTGTGGCAAGAGAGAACAGCTTTTCTCCATCTTTTTAATGACAGCCTTCAAGTATTTGAAAACAGCTATCATGTTCCCGTTAATCTCCTCTTTTCTAAACTAAACATGCCCAGTAGTTCTTTGAGTGCTTACTCATGTCAATTCCATTCTAGGTGTGCGCGTGCCCCCGTTCACAGTTGTCGGAGACTTTCGCTTTAGCGATATCTGTAGGGTTGGCTGTGGCGCCCTCTGCAGTGCCGCACCCATGCATCGGAATATCAGGTGCTGCTGGTCATACGCCCTCTCAGTTCCTTCTTACTGCCTGTGGTGGTTGGTTCCCGGAGCACCTCTCTTCCTTGCCTCACAAGTGGTCAGTGGTTTCTTTCCCTTTCGACTTCGTATTCCAGCTGTAAATAGTTTTGTTTATTGTAGATTAGTTAGTAAGTAGCTATTATGTACTATAGTCAGTCAGTTAGGGTCCCGGTGGGGACTTTGCCCCAGGCGGGGCATGCCCTGGTCACTAGGTTTTAAGCCCTGTGCTGACTGTAATACGCCTATGCCTGTTAGTGACCCACACGGCAGCTGTCTGAAGTGCTTGGGGGAATCCCACGTCAAAATAAGTGTCACATCTGTAAGAACTTTCGTCCCATGACACAGGACGCGACATTCGTTTGAGGGCCTTCCTCATGGAGGCTGCTCTCCACCCAACTTTGGAGCTGGCCTGGCCAGACGCAACACCCAGCACTTTGGCCTCGGTGCATAGCACACCCCAGGCACTGGGCTCTACCCAGGACTGATCTCCTTCGCCGGTGCCCAAGAAGTCGTCTAAGAAGTGGGACCCCGTAGTGAGCAAGACAGACCAAGGGGCTTTGGGTCCCTGTTCGGGTCACTGCCCACGCTGGAGCTGCAAGGAGACTTCCTACCCCCCTAAAGGATCTGCCACCGACTCTGTCTGAGTCGTAGGGGACTCAGACTGATGGTGGTGTCAACGTCTTCCCGGTGCCCAAAGCGCAAAGGACTCTCCCACCGCAGGGACACTCTCCAACATGGTGCTGCTCCCCCTACTCGTGGCACCAGTCTGACTACTCGAGGCACCCACAGTGATGGTTAGCCGCTGGACTCAGACGTCGACGGCCCAACCTGGTCACCAGAGGAGGATTCCTCCTGCACGGAGAGGAAGTTCAGCCCCTCGCCAAGACAGCACCGTCATGACTGGGCTCCTGAGGTTGTGTCCACCTCAGCGATGCCGTCCTGGCAGCAGGGCCAGTGGCCAGCGCAATGGCCTTACTGGAATGCCTGGGGCGTGCTGGTTATGCCGATGCCCCCATCTCACCAATCATCGGTCACTGCGTCGGACAAGCATCAAATGGCACCAGACTCGTGCGAAGCACAAGCAGATGCTGAGGTGGCGGGCCAGATGCCCACCCCGAGACCTCCTTCCTCCACGGGGGATGATGCTCCAGGCCCTGCCCCGGTGGTTCAGTCATCCTCATCCTCTCCAGATGAGGCTATGGTGGGGTCCTCTCGTGCTAGCTCATTGGACGACTTTAAGGAGCACCAAGCCCTGCTTCGAGGGGTGGCCAGTAACCTAGGCCAAGAAGTAGAAGAGATGGCAGAGCAATCAGACGCTTTATTTAATGTGCTCTCCACATCCACCCCTGCATATGTCGCACTTTCGGTGCACAAAGGGGTCCTAAAGATTGCCAAAACCCTCTGGCAAACCCCATCCTCAATCCTGCCCACTTCCAAGAGGGCTGAGAAAAAGTATTTTGTTCCAGCCAAGGGATTCGAATACTTATATACTCACCCGCCCCCAGGGTCATTGGTTGTTTTGGCGGCCAACGAAAAGGACAAGCAAGGGCACTGTAGTTCCACACCCAAAAATAAGGTTGGCCGAGAGACTGGACCTTTTTGGGAGGAAAATGTATTCCACAGCCAGTCTCCAGTTCCTAGTCACGAACCACCAGGCTCTTTTGGGGCAATGTAACTTTAAGCTGTGTGACTCCCTCCATAAGTTTAAGGACTCCATGCCCCAGGAGGTGGCCCAAGAGTTCGGGGCCCTGGTTGAGGAGCGTACAGCAGCGGCTAGGTGTTCCCTCTAGCTGGCCTGGGATGCGGCCGATTCAGCGGCCAGGGTAGTCACCTCGGCGGTGGTCATGAGGTGCAGTTCCTGGCTTCAGACCACAGACCTGTTCCAGGAGATGCAGGCCTCGATACAAGATCTCCCATTTGATGGAGTTGGGTTCTTTGCAGAACAGACGTGAGGCTGCACGGTCTGAAGGACACTCAAGCCACCCTCCGCTCCTTGGGGTTCCATGCGCCTCAGTTGGCGAGGAAGCAATTCCGGCCGCCCCTGCCACCAAGGCCTTGGCAGCCTCAGCAGGGATCTACAAGGGACACTAATTTTAGTCTCCGTCACCCTTCCTCCTCCCGTTCACCCTATGCAACCTGGCCCAGCGAAGCACCACAGGGGCCAGAAGCTTGCATTTCGAGGGTGCGCTAGAGAGCAACACCCCAGTCAACTCCCTGGTTCCGTCCCATCTTTTCCTCAACTGGCTCCGTCCTTACCATTTGGCCTGGTCGCAGGTTACTTCAGTCCACTGGGTGCTAGAGATTGTCACTGGGCTACATTCTCCAGCTTTTGGCCACCTTCCCACCCTACCTACCTTCTTCCCCTCCCTCTTCAGGGACCCTTCTCACTAGCAACTTCTCATTCAGGAGGTAGACAACCTCCTACAACTGGGGGCAGTGGAGGAGGTCCCTCAGGAAATGAGGGGGAAAAGTTTCTACTCCCGCTATTTCCTGATCCCAAAAGCAAAAGGGGACCTACAACCCATTCTGGACCTGCAACGACTCAGCAGATACCTCAAGAAGTTGAAGTTTCGCATGGCTTCACTGGCCTCCATCATCCCCTACCTGGATCCGGGAGACTGGTACGCCACTCTTGACTTGAAAGATGCTTATTTCCATATCTCTGTCTTCCAAGGACACCACTGTTCCTCCGTTTTATGGTGGGCCAGCGCCATTTCCAGTTCACAGCACTTCCCTTTGGCCTCTCCTCAGCCCCGTGGGTATTTACAAAATGTATGGCCTCAGTAACCACTTACTTAAGGCATCGGAGGGACGGGGGGATCCAGGTTTATCCTTACCTCAACAATTGGCTCATCAAGGGCAGGTCATAGGATCACGTGCAGAACAGTCTCGATCTGGTGCGGTCCACCTGTCACGACCTGGGCCTATTAGTGAACGAAAAGAAATTGACCTTCATACCAGTGCAATGAATAGTTTATTGGAGCAGTTCTCAACTCCATGTGTGCGAGAGCCTTCCTTCCGGAGGCCTGTTTCCGAGCCATGTTAGGGGGCTCCTATGTAAGGGGCCACCTGCTCACCACTGCCCAGGCTTGCCTAAGGTTGCTAGGCCACATGGCTGCCTGTACTTACATGGTCCGTCATGCCCAGCTCCACCTTCAGCTGCTGCAGGCATGGTTGGTGTCGGTCTACATCCCCAACAGATATGGCCTGGACCCGGTAGTCAAGGTGCCGGACCACATCTGGTCATCACTGGCTTAGTGGTTGGACCACTCATTAGTGTTGCAGGGAGTTCCCTTCGTGGCCCCGGCCCCATCACTAACTCTGGTTTCTGATGCCTCAGACCTGGGCTGGGGAGCCCACCTGGGTGAGTGCCGTACACAAGGCCACTGGTCGGGGGTTGACTGCTCTCTCCACATAAATGTCAGAGAGCTCAGGATGGTTCACTTGGCCTGTCAGGTTTTTCGGCCACACTTACAAGGTAAGGTGGTTCAAGTCCTGATGGACAACACCGCCATGATGTTTTATATCAACAAGCAAGGCGGCTCTGGACTTCTGTGTGCAGCATGCCATTCATCTCATGGCAGCGCACTTCCCCAGTACGAGGAACATGTTAGCCGATCACCTCAGCTGAGCCTTCTTGTCTCACCACGAATGGTCACTCCACCTTGAGGTGGTCAACCGGATCTTCCGAAAATGGGGATCTCCCCAGGTGGACTTGTTTGCGACTTGCCAGAACAGGAAATGTCACCTTTTCTGCTCATTTTGGGGGATCAACTGGGGCTACTTCTCAGACACCTTCCTACTCCTGTGGTTG